CTCCGGCCGCCAGCACCTTCGCCCGGGTACCGCTCGCCGCCGCCGCCCACGTGCGCGCTGGTCCCGCGGAGCGCATCTTCGGTGCCGGCGGCATATTTTGGTTTTCTGCCTCTCATCTCTCTTTCTTTTTACTTTTTGCATATGGGAAAAAGTTGAGTCGAAAGTGTCCACCAATTGCCACGTCCCCATTATCCTCCTTTCCCGCCCCACTGTTTTTGTTTTTTTAAAGCAGTGTCAACGGTGGTTTTTTTTTTTTTTAAGTGTCTATTTTGTTTTACGATCGATAGTTTCCCGGCGGTTGCTGATCCGCGGAGTGGCGTGGACCTCATGTAGAAATAACAGCAATGGAAGGGGCCAGCGGGTCGAGTTTTGGAATAGACACGATTTTATCCGGTGCCGGTTCCAGCAGCCCCGGCATGATGAACGGAGATTTCCGCCCTCTTGGCGAAGCTAGGACCACGGATTTTAGGAGCCAGGCCACACCGTCACCCTGTTCGGAGATTGATACCGTGGGAACGGCGCCCTCTTCTCCGATCTCGGTCACCTTGGAGCCCCCGGAGCCGCACCTCGTGACAGACGGGCCCCAGCTTCACCATCACCTTCACCACGGCCAGCAGCCGCCGCCGCCGCCGCCTCCAGCCGCGGCTCCCGCGCAAAGTTTGCAGGCTTCGCCCCAACAGCAGCCGCCGCCGCCGCCGCCTCCAGCCGCGGCTCCCGCGCAAAGTTTGCAGGCTTCGCCCCAACAGCAGCCGCCGCCGCCGCAGCCGCAGTCCGCGGCCCAACAGCTGGGCTCGGCCGCCTCGGCCCCCAGGACTTCCACCTCTTCTTTTTTAATTAAGGACATCTTGGGGGACAGCAAACCTCTGGCGGCTTGTGCGCCCTACAGCACCAGCGTGTCTCCGCATCACACGCCGAAGCAGGAGAGCAACGCCGCGCACGAGAGCTTCAGGCCAAAGCTGGAGCAGGAGGACAGCAAAACCAAGCTGGACAAGAGGGAAGACTCCCAGAGCGACATCAAATGCCACGGTGAGTCGGGCCGGGCCTGCCGGGCGCTGGAGGCGATTGAGGAAGGGCTGGAAGCTAGAGAGGGGCCTAGGCGCGCCGTTCAGCAAACGCACCCCAAGCTCAGTTGGTTACATTGCTAGCCTACGACCTTCAGCGACATCCAGCTCCGTTCTTTGTTTTACTTAATTGTCAATGTGCTGGGAGGAGGGTGGCCGCGGGGAGAGACAGGACGGAAGATGCTTTTCGTTGAAAACAGAGACGGACTCGAGATTGTTTGCGTGTGTGTGTGTGTGTGTGTGTGTGTGTGTGTGTGTGTGTGTGTGTTAGCTGAGACCTTGGGAATGGGAATGGGAGGGGGTGGAGAGAAACTGATAGCGAGCTGTGGTTGCAGTCACAACTTGATATTTATTATTGAATGCAAATGCCCCCCCCCAATATTTTCCAAATAATCGCAGCAGTTGTCTGATTTAATGTTGGACAAATTTCCAACACTATTCCGGGAGCAATGTATTTTTACCAGCTGGTGATTAATACAGAAAAAAAAATCATAGTCCATTAAAAAATAAAAACCCTTTTCATCAATACCCCCAACAAAATGTCTGTGACCTAATCAATTCTGGCCCTTTATAATAACGAAATATTTATTGAAATTAAATTTTATGGAATTGAATTTGTTCTTGTAAAATCAAGACGCCATGGAAATTATCCTTTAACATGATTTTCTTCTTGGACAATTTCTTAAGTAACTGTTCTGGTATTTGCATTCCAAGAGTTTTAACACACCGGGGAGGGTTTTTTCTCCCCTTACTGATAAGTTGTTGTTGTTATTATTATTATTATTATTATTATTATTATTATTAATGTTCAATTCTCTGGTAAAGATTGCTGTCTGGAAGGTAGAATACGGGCTCTTCATTTTACTGTTTATAACATTAGCATAATAGTGCCCCAAACAGATGTACAGTCTGGTCTGGCGATTTTTCCCGCACCAACCTCCCCAGTGGGTCAATTAGAGAGATTATTGTTCTTCCTGCCGGGAAGATCAAGGCATGCTGCACAAACCAGTACAAACAGAGAAGGATTGACATATCGATTTCCCAGCATTTCAGCAAAAAAACCAGAGTTGACAAATAGAATCCGGAAATTTCTGCGCTGTCACCTGGATGGACTCAAGTGTTTTTTGAGCTCAGCTCAGTGTCTGGGTGACACATTCTCTCTAAAGCTTGAACAAGCTCTGGTACAGAGGAGGCCTCTGGAACCTCCAGTCCATCCTTTTCCAAATGCATCCAATAAAAGAGAAACAAAGGCTTCTAACTTCAGGTTAGCAGGGGAAAAAATAAAAACAGAGTAGAAAGACTTTGGGGAGTACCAGATAACGTACCTTTGAAAAAATAAAGAGGGGGTACATCGCCTCTTCTCAAATCAAAGAAAAACAGTCAACAGGGCATCAGATTCTGGTAGAACTCTCTCAGGCCTCTACACTGTTTAAGGCCCAGTGAAGGAAGGGTGTGTGTGCCGAGTAGAGCCCCACAGATCAGCACCTGGCGTGGGAATGTGGAAGTGTTTGCCAGGTGGGCACTCCTCTCCTCCAGTCTCAGGCTAACTTATAGGGCTCTATCGTTGTTTCTACCCTAGGAACAAAGGAAGAAGGCGACCGGGAGATTACCAGTAGCCGAGAGAGTCCCCCTGTGAGAGCCAAGAAACCTCGAAAAGCCAGGACAGCTTTCTCGGACCATCAGCTCAATCAGCTAGAGCGTAGCTTCGAGCGGCAGAAGTACCTGAGTGTCCAGGACCGCATGGACTTGGCAGCCGCGCTCAACCTCACTGACACGCAAGTCAAGACTTGGTACCAGAACCGCAGGTGAGGGAAGCTGCTGGGCGCTGCTGTCCAGGCCACGGTCACCAACAGTTGTCTGCCCTCTTGCCCTCTTGAGACCTGGGTCAGAGAATCAGAAAGTGTACAGTGGGGGTTTCAGGCAGGGGTTAACCACACCTCCAGATGAGGGAGCCCAGGGGCACCAGAGCCTGGATACTCTTCCCTAAATGTCTTACCATGCGGTCCTTTCTCTTGTGAAACTCGAACTATCAGGATTCCCCCCATTTTGTCCTCAAATCAGCGAAGCCACACCTTCTCAAATGGAAACATCTGTACAGCTGACAGGGATGAGGCTGTGTGCACAGGGTACCCTTAGACCCACCACAGGCCGACTCCAAATGTCTGCAGCAGGCGACACCACCTAGCTATGGAAGACCCCACAAAGCCGTCCCACCAGCCTTAGCTTAAATGGGAGGCCGTTGTGGAGAGCCCAGGTCCAAACCTTGGTTGCCATAGCGTGGAAGATTAGGGAAGCCCATCTGGGTTTGCATGGGACTGGAGGCCAGGGACTAGAGAAACAGGCAGCTGGTTGACCATCCAGTCTGGAGCGTGGGGGAAGGGGAGGGCTGTGTGTCTGTCCCCTCCCTGTACAGGCTGCTTCTGCAGTCCTATAAGGAAAGAGGGTGAGGGAGGGGAAAACAGACCACGATTCTCTAAAATAGACGCCGAGATCGTGGCTGACCTCGCCCTGGTGGCTAAGGACAAACTTGGGCGGTAAGGCTCCGTCCTGTTCGCACACCTGGCACTCGGCTCCCTCGGCTCGATTCTCTGCCCCTCTGTCCTTGTGTTCTAATCGTTCATAAGTGGGGTTGGAAATGCCCATCCAGTTGTCATCTTACCATAATTTTCTGTCTCATTACATACGGTTTCAGCCACCCTAATTCTGTCGGAAAACATTAGTGTCATTTGTAGCCAATTTAAAACCAGCGACATGTTTATTAATTTGGCAGGGGCTGCTGGGTATGGATGCTCCACCAAGCTTGCCTTCCTTCCGAGGGCGTTTGAGTAGACGTCCCCTTTCCCTAGCTTGGTGCAACGGGGGTGGGGGGGGGAGGGGAAAAAAAGGATAACAGGTTTTAAGTACTACTTTCCCTTTGAGGAGGAAACGTCTTGAGATCCATTTCCTCCCACCTAGAATGGTCAGGGGCGCCATGCCCCTGGGAGAGCTCGCTCTCAAACGAATTCCACTTTTAAACCTCGTCGGCCCTCCCTTCCACGCTAAGCTTGTAATGCCTGGTAAGACTGAAGGAAGAGTTGTCTCCACCGCCCTGGAGAGCACAAACCCCGAGTCTCCGCCGCCGCCCTTTGTTTCTGGTTTTGGTTTCCTCGGGTGCGATGGGGTGGGGGAGGGGCCGGGAGCCAACCTTTTAGATTGCTGGTCCGAGCACACTGGAGGAGAACTGGGGGGCCAACGGAAGGCAGCTGGCGGAAAGGTGGGGTCTCGCTGGGCCTCCGGGAAAGTTGATGCAGGACATAGTTTGACCGCGGGGCGGACAGCAGAGCGGAGGGCCAGGGAAGGCAGCGAAGCCTGTAGGGTTCCACATAGAAAGTGTCTTTTTGAAGCACTGATTGTGGGTTTGGGCCTTCCTGAGAGAGCGAGTCGGGGGAGGCTGCGGCAGGAGACTGGCACCACGAGTTCCCCAGGCCTTCCGGGAGTAGGGAGGGCAGGGGAGCACGGGGAGCGGCGGCCCGGTGCCGGGACGGTCCTCCTCCTCCGCAGCCGCCGCCCGCCCGCCCGCTCTCACCCGCTTTCTTTCAGAACCAAGTGGAAGCGGCAGACCGCGGTGGGCTTGGAGCTGCTGGCCGAGGCCGGGAACTACTCCGCTCTGCAGAGGATGTTTCCGTCGCCCTATTTCTACCACCCAAGCCTGCTGGGCAGCATGGACAGCACCACGGCGGCCGCGGCGGCCGCGGCCATGTACAGCAGCATGTACCGGACTCCTCCGGCGCCCCACCCGCAGCTGCAGCGGCCGCTGGTGCCCCGCGTGCTCATCCACGGCCTCGGGCCCGGGGGACAGCCGGCCCTCAACCCTCTGTCCAACCCCATCCCAGGCACCCCGCATCCCCGGTGAGGAAAGGGACAGCGCTCCAGGTTCCCATCCCGCCCCGGACAGCTGCCCCGCCTCTCCCCGCACCAGGCCAACAGGAATGGAGGCAGAGGGGTGAAAGGAGGAGCTCACCGGTGGGCTGGGGTCCCCAAGGACCAGCCAGCCCTCTGCTCTCCATCTGCCCCCTCAGAGGCAGGGATGCAAAGCTCCCCAGCAGTGTGGCTGCTGGAGAAAAATACTGACCCCACTGAGATTGCAACCCGTAAGTGAAAACATCCACCAAAACAAAACCCTCGAGTTCTTTTTTTTAACGAAAATGACTTTAGGGACACGCAGAAGGGAGGGAGGGGGGAGGGCTAAGAAGGGACGAGAGAAGGGCATGGAGAGGAACCTTCTAGCAGAGAGAATTGTTGCTGGACAGACAGCCTGAAGTTCACCCCAGGCAGAAGGTGGTACCCTGGACATCCACCGTTCTGCCTCAGAGCAGAGGAGGGTGAGGAGAGCCTTGCACTGATTTCTCATGAGCTTTTTTTCTTTTGGAAAAGTGGCATGCTACATAATATGAAAAAAAAATGTACATTTGAAAGACTGAGTGATAAGTGATATATCATATTTATTATATGTTGTCCAAAACAGAGTCACTTATATACGTCAGTAAAAACATGATTTTTCTTTTCATGTCTTTTTGATTCAGTAAAATAAATGCTTAGACAAAAGTATAGATTTTTTTGTGATTGAAAATTACAAAAATAAAGTTTATCTTTTTTTAACAAGCGATGAAATCCCAGGGAGCTGATTTTACTTAAATTTACTGATGATGAAACGTGTGACTTGGGCGCAGAAAACACCCCTTCAGTAGCACTCCACAAAATATGTCGACTTTGGGCTGGCTTGTAGACAGACCCTCCATTCTGGATGCCTGCCTCTTCTGAGCTGTATGGACGACGCGTAGTGCCCGTCTTTTTTATGCGAATGGTTTAAAGAACGAATACTTGTTTGTGGACTGTTGGTGCTAGCTAATAGGCAACCGACTACCCCTGCTGTTCCCGCCTGGACGCGAAGGCTTTGCGGTGTGTGGCGATTCTTCGACCGCCCCTCCCCTTCCAGCGCTCTTCCTGGGGCCGTGAGTGTCCCGAGCACTGGCCAGCGCTGCCAGCAGGAGCCGGGCGGCAGGCGGACACTAGGCCGGCCTTGCAGCTGTTCAGCCGCCCGCGGCTGGGCGCTTGCTCAGCCGGACAGCCTGCGAGCGGGAGGCTGCCGGGCGAGCAATTAGGGCGCCCCGGGGGACGCCGAGTACCCCGCTAACAAACCCTTGTCGCTGCTTTGATCCTTGCCTTCTTAGTCCCCAACGGCGACCTTCCAGCCCCCCAGCCCCTCACCTAGTGGCTCGCCCTAATGAGTTCGCTGTGCTTGGATCTGCGGAGCGGGAATACGACGTCAAACTCTAGTTGAGACAAGCTTGCCAAGTCTTTTTATCTGTGCTTCTGGAAGGGCTGGCACTCAAAATGAAAGGCCCTGCCCAGCGTGTAGAGAAGGCCCTTTCGGGCTTTCTGTGTGTGTGTGTGTGTGTGTGTGTGTGTGTGTGTGTGTGTGTGTGTGTGAGCACCAGAGCCAGAGCTTGACTTTAGGCTGCAGGTGCCCAGGGCTGACTCTTTACCCAGGCCAGAATTAATGATTTCATGAAGGAAAACTGTAGGGATGGGGGCAGACTGGGCAGAGCTATAGAGCTGTTCATGCTCCTGTGTGGGGTCGGGGAGAACTGGTCCCACCAGCACCCCTACACCTCCAGCCTCAGCTCTGTCCCGGGGCTCTGACAAAGAGACCAGAGGCACAGCTAATCCACACCCAGACCCGGCCTCCGACTTTGCCTGATGATTTAAGCTTTGCTTTTTAAAAAACGTTTTAAAAAATGTAGTGATGTGGGAATGTGAACTGAAGAGGGTGGGAAGGAGGAAGGAAGGCAGGAGGTGAGAGCAAGGAGGAAATTGCCTCGGGCGCCTCGATCAGACCGTGGCTAATTAGGGAGTGGCTTGCAGATTTCCCTCCAGCTCATCAATCGAATCGAAATGGTCTTGATCTTTTTATGAATCCAACCAGAGACTGGGCTGGCCCTTGTAATTTTTTGCTTGCTGAGCGGGGGCTTGGGGGGGGGGGACAGACTCAGAGGGCTGGGCTTGGTGGGGAACAGGACACCACTCTGTCCTGTGGATAGGCCCAGTGCCTGGTACTCAGCCGACTCCTGCTCCATCTTAGCTTTGGTTGGATTCTTTAAACATCAAGTTTCAATAGTTTATGAGGATTTGGCTAGGCCCACAGAAGCATTTTCTAAGGAGTGAGGGTGCTAAGTAGCTCTGTTCACTCTGGACCTGGGTTTGGTAAGCTCAGGGCCAAAGAAGGGGGCCGAGGACAGCACAGGTTTCCTGTGTGGACAGAATCCACGTAGAGTTATCCTGGATGGGGAGGGGAACGGAGGAGGGAACCTACACACCCAGGCAAGGCCTTCGCGCGCACTGGCACCCACTGGCCACCAGTGTCAGCCTGAACTTGGACTCCGTGGGTGGTCAGCGCAGGGCAGCACTTGGCACTGCTGTTAGCAATTGTTTCCCACACATCAAAATCCCCGCAAGTTCACCTGTCTTCATAGTCGAGTTTCTGGAATTTCTTAAACCATGGGGCTGAAGGTGTCCATCCTTCCTCTCCACATTTGTTTTGGTTTTGGCCGGATGGGGTGTGGCAAGAGGAGCTGACCCGGGAAGAAAGTTGGGTGCCAGAGTTCTTTTCTCTCCTTTAGCACTGCCGTAGTGGAGACCTTTGCAGGTGCCCTGAGACTCAAGGTCCCCAGAGACTGCTTAGAAGTCAAGTACAGAACTGGTTCTTTCCTGTACAAGGGGTCCCTTTGTGCTTCTGTGACTGCCCAGTTACGCTCAGGGTGGGGGGATGGCTAAGGGGTGAGAAGCAGGGAGCAAGCCAGTGTGTCTTTCTCACAGGAGACTTTGGCTGGTCAAGGGCTTCCTCGAGAGGCTGCCACTGGGAGCTGCACCCCTTGAAGGGCAAACTATGACCGGTCTCTGGACTGATGAAATAAAGTCTAGACAAACAGATACCCCTGGTGACATTCTTTGCTTCCCATCAGAACACAGGAAAAAGAACTTGTTTCAGAAGGATGCTCAAAACCCCACAGAGGTCCATATCCCTAAGGCTAGCTGACCTTGAGACCAGCCAGAGCAAACAGTCCAGATCTACAGATCGGAAATCTACTTGTTAGGAGAGAAGGCAAAGTTTCTGGCCAGCAGCCAGTTGTTACAGTCCAGCTAAGCCATTTTCAATAAATTGCAAAGTAACACTTGCCGCTTGGCTCCAGCCCCAGCAAATAGATTTACCTCCCTGTATCAGTTTATTTTTTTCTCCCTCCCCCCAAAGAAAGCCCACACAGAGGCAAATTAGCCAATTTCCTGTGTTGCTGCAAAAACAGCTTTCCCTTAAACAAAGTCTACCCCCCTCCCGCTCACAGTCTGCCTCCTGCCTAGGCAACCTTCAGGAGCTTTTGCTCAACCCTATCCCTTAAACAAGGCAGCATGGGAGTAGTTTGGTTTGTTATATTTTTAACTTTCTAAAAATATTGGGGAAAGCCCTTCCCAGGGCTAGGGAAACTTTAGTGCTCGTTAAACCTCGAGGTGACCACGCGTACACTGGAAGGACTCTGCTTAGGTTCTGAAAAAGCCAGGCAGGTCTTGAAGTCAACATGTGGAAAACAAGGCCTGATTTTTCACCACTCACAGGCTGCTCAGGAGCAGATGTGACTGCCTTTTCCTCTGCAGCTTGGAATCCTTCTTGGGGGGAGGCTGGCCTGCCCTGTGCCCTGGCTCCTGACCACGGAAAGATGTGGGCTCATGGGTGGGGAGTGGGGCCTTCTCCAGGGCTGACTGATGGACTCTGGACCAACTTCTTCAGACATCTCCATTCTCTCACGTAGTCTTTGTCCAGGCCTACTTTCTTGAGGGGAGTCCGGTCGTCTTTACTACTCTTGTCTTTTTATTTATTTATTTATATTTTTGAGTTGGGGCCCAGTGCCCAGCACCTCTCCAAGTCGCCTCTGAAACGGCATACTCCCGACTGGATGAGAGTGCGTGTGTGGGCTGCGTGATGGGGAGCGGGTGGGCTCCCGGGCTGTGCGGTAAGAGAAAGGGAGGTGTCACTGGCTCTTTGCATTGGAAAACCAGTCCCATTATCTTGGGGAGATGGGAAAAGCCAGAAGAGACCTTCGCTTCGCTTGCTTCCCTCTAGCTGAACGTGAAGACCTGTGTCATTTTGAGCTTTGCTGGCTCGCCGCCATTCTGTCTCCTCTTTACTTCTTGTCTGTCTGTCCCTCCTCAAGGCGGCTCTCCCAGCTTCTCCCTCCTAGCACCACAGACAGCTCCCAGGTCGGCGCAGCAGAGCTGGAGGCCGACCCAGGCGGTTCCAGGCCGAGCCCAGGCTGGCGCGGAGGGTGGGGTGGGGTGCGGGGAGTGTGCCGCTGGCGGGGGAGGTCCAGAGGTGATTACAAAGAGCCCTCCCCGGCAGCGTTTCCTGATTAACCCTAAGTCCAAACAGGGTCACATTCCAAAGAACACAATCTTCAGATCAATAAAGTGATTCAAAACCCCAAAGATCTGGGGGTAAGCAGCGCTCTACCACAGATCAACTCTTAACCAGCCCTCCACCCCCATTACTAAGTTCTTCGTGGAAGGAGGCCCGGGAAGAGCCGGGCCCGAGGCCTGCAGCTCCGAAGCCTCTGCGCCCGGGCTGCTGCGAGGTCTCGCGTGGACCCTGCCTCTGCGGCCCTTCCTGCTTCGGTCGCGGGTGCGCGCGCGGCCTCGGTGGCTGCGAGCCGAGAAAGAACAAGCGCTCCGGAGGAGGCCGCTCTGCAGGTCGCGCCGCGCGGGGCCCGGGATCTGCAGCGCTTGTCCCTCCCCGCGTGCTCACGGCTCTTCGCGGCCCCGAGACCGTGCATGGGAGCCCCTTGAGAGGAAAACGGGGTCGCGACCGCGAGGTTGAACTTGATTTGCAAAAACCGGGCTGTGGCCCTCGGTGCTGCCCGTGGGAGGGGATGGCCACGTGCCACACCCGGTGGGCCGCGCAGGACGCACCAGGCGCTGGCGCCTCGGGCGCCGGGTTTCTGTGCTTGCCTGGCCTCCCGGCTGTCTGGCAGTCTGTAAGCTCCTGTGTTGGTGACAGAGGTGACAGATGAGTTTCAGGATAGCATGTCTAGGAAGGGCACCTACAGATAGACCTCGGTCAAAAATCCAGACATTTTTTCAGGAGCAGTCGTCGGGGTGGCCTACAGAGCAGTGTCCTTCTGTCCCCTTTGTGAGTTGTGGAGGGAATAAAAAGCCGTCTCCATCTCCTGCGAAGATAATAAAACAAGCTTTGCCGCTATCTGCATCCAGACCCACCTCCTGCCTCACTCTTCCTAAGGGCTCAGAACTGCATGATATGAAAAATTTTCTCCAGTTTTTGGAGTCAATTTCTTCAACGTTCTGGCTCCCTTCTTGTTCTTCTTGGCTGGGCTAGAGGGCTAGAAACGTTAATGGAAATTAGGAACCGAGTGGGTTTTTAGGAGTGTGAGTTATCCACGTTTGTGGGTTCAGGCATCGTTGGGGATCAGAGTTTTCCCCAGAGTCTGTGAGGCCTGTAGGAAGAGGAGCCGAAAAGCCTCGATTAGACATGTCTACAGGAAAGGACCGGAACTTATAATACCACTGGTGGTGCACTCTGAAGCCACAGAACTGGGCTGCC